TTAGTTATATTAATTAGTTCAAATTTGTGTATCTTTATTAAACTCTAAAAATAAAATAATATATTAATAAAAATTATAAAATGGTTGATTATTTAATAGAATTATAAATTATCTATTTTAATTTTATCATAATTTGATAATAGTTAACTATTTAATATTATAACTAAAATATTTCTTTTTTTACTTTATAATAAAATTATATTTTTTTTTATTTATAATATTATAACAAAAAAAAAAGAATTTTAATAATTATTTAAAAAAATATAAAAAAGAAAATTTATTTATTATTAAATTTATATTTAATAAAATTAAAATATTATCATAATAAAATAGTATTTTAATATTAAATTATTTAATATTTATATATTTTTATCATTAAGTTTAAAATCAAAATTTTACTAGATTTAATTATATAAAATTTATCATTATTTAAATTAAATAAATTATAATTTATTATTATATAATATTAAAGTTTTAATAATATAAATAATTAATAATTATATAATTATATAAATTTGAACAAATTATATTGATTAATTAGTAATTATATAAAGATATTTATTATATATTTATTATATATTTATTATTTATTAAAATTAAATTAAATTTTAAATGATGGTTATTAGAAAATACATTGTATTATAAAAAAATTTTTTATATTTGAGAAAATCAAACAAAATATAATGTGATAAAAATTAAAATAATCATATAAGAGATATTTTATATAAATTTAAATTTAATTCAAATTTGATAAATCTGATTTAGATTAAATTTGATTAGAATTATATTTGATTTATTAGATTTAGATTTAAATTTTAGATTTAAATTGATTATTTACTATTATTCTTTTTAAATGATATATTATTATTTTTTTTTGAATGATTCATTATCATTTTTTTTTTTTGAATAATTCATAATTAAAATATTATTTCTTATTTAGATTTAGATTAAATAAAATTTAGATATAAACTAATTTATCAGATTTAGATTTGAGATTTAATCTATCATTTTTAAATTAAAATCTGAATTTAATCAAATTTGTTAAATTCAGATTAGATTTAAATCTATAAAAATAAATATTAAATTAAATTAAATTTTATTTAAATCTGATCAGATTTAATTTTATAAAATTCTAATAAGAGATAATTATATAAAATAACTATAAAAAAAATAATAATTATAATAAAATAATACAGTTTTTAGTGAAAAAAATAATAGTAAAAATACTAAATTTATTTTTGGTCATAATATCATTATTTTTCTGATTTAAATCATTATTAATATTACTAAATTAAATAATAGAATATTAATTTAAAAGTATAGTATAAAACAAAAAAATTTAAAATTAAAAATATTTTTTTATAAAAAAAAATTATATAAAAATTATATAATTTAAAGCTAAAAATCAATTTATTTTATTAATATTTTTAAAATAAAATGTGATAATTATTTTCTTTTATAATAAGTTTATAAAGGGATTTTATTGATCATACTAATTTAATTATAGTCAGTTTAAGAATATTATTTTATTCTTTGACTATAAACTGATATAAATCACTAATATTTTTTTAGCATTTTTTTTATATTTCTTTTAACAATATTTCAGAGATTTTTTATTAAATTTATATTAAAACTATTAGAAGACCATTTAATAACTTTAGAAAATTTTTCTTGTTAATTGAATTTATCTTAAAAAGTTTTAGGAAAAGAAAAGATAATGATAAGAAAATATAAAAAAATAATTAATTATTAATAGTATAAAATAAAAAAAGTTATACTTATTAACATACTAACTATATTTAATTTTACATTATTTAAATTGACTATAAATTTATTAAGTTATACATTATTTTATTCTATTCAATTTTATCCTAAATTATAAATTATAAATAATGATTATTATTATTATTTACATTTACCCTATACCCTTAAAAAATTGCTAAATTTTTTTGAAATTTAATAAAAGTTATTAAATTATTTTAGTAATAAAATGTGTATAATTTATAAGAATTTTAACTGATTAAAATTTATTTACACTTCTATAAATAATATATTAATAAATTATAAAAACTGATAATATTTCTATAAATTATTTATTTGATTATCTATTTCTTAAAACATAATTATTTCATTATTACAAATAAATTTGAGGCTAAATTAAAAGAAAAAGATTTTAAAGTTAAAATCAATAAATAATATAATACACTATAAACTCAAAAATTTTAATTATATAAATAATAATACAAATATAATATACAGTCATAATTAGGTTTTTTTAATAAGATAATAATCTAAAATACATCTTACAGAATATTAAGAAGAATATTTATTAAAAAGAGTTCTTTCTTATTCTTTATATAGTTCAAACTTAAATCTTATTAAAAATGTATAAACTGTATTAAAATAAAAAGTAAAGAAAAAAATTAAAAATTTAGTAAAAAACTATTTATTATATTTTTTTTTAATACAATTTAACAGGAATATTAGTTATAATATCTAATCATAGCAAAATTTTTTTAAGATGTTAAATTTAATAAAATATATATTAATTTATAAAATTTTTATAAATCACATGATTTATATTTTTATATTTATTAAAAATTAACAAATTATTTAAATTATTTAAGAATTGATTATTTTTTAATTGCATATTTTATTTGTTTTATATTAAATTCTTTTATAAATATTTATATATATTTATCACTTTTTTTTTAAAATAATTATTTAGTATTAGATTTTTATTTAAACTTTGATCATTATTAACATTAAATAATATTTTATCATAAGTATAATATATTAATATAATATAAATATATTAATATATTAAATATAAATAAAATATATCTTGAGAAATTATTGATTTAAACTTATTTAATATTATTTTTTATTATCAATTAAAATTATCTAATTTTTTTTAAAAAAAAAATAAGGATTATGTAAATCAAATCTGAAACTGATAAATTTTATTTAATATTATTTAATAATTAATTATTATCTTTTAAAAATTTTTAAAAAACCTAATATTTTATATTTTATTTGTTATAATTATTTTAACAATTTATTTAAAAAATATTTTAATATATAAATATAATATTATTTATATAGATAATAATTTAAAATTATTATAAAAATATAATAAATAATTTACATGAAATGAATTTATTACATATATAAATTGTAATAATTAATTTATTTAATATAAATAATTAAAATATAATGATAAAGTATTTATTAGTAATAAAATTTAATAATTAAAACTCTAAATATAAAAAAATAACTAAAAAAAAATTTTATTAATATTAAAATAAAAAAATAAAAAAAAAATTTTGAATATTTATTATAATAAATCTTTATAATTAAATTTAATTATATATATTAAAAATCCTATTAATTATATAAGTTTAAAATAATATTATATATTTATTTCTTTAATATATATAATAATACTTTGAATAGAAGTAATTAATAGTTTAAAATTTTATAATAATTATATAAAAATCTTTATTTATTAAATATATTTATAATATATAATTTAAATATTTAAAATAAATGATAAATAAAAAGAAAAAAAATAAAGAATGAAAAATATCTAATAAATTAAATATATAAAATAGATAGATTTATTTTTAACTTTTATAAGTTTTATAATTAGTTCTTGAATTTTAAAATTTCTTTTTTTATTTAAAAATCTCTTTAATCAATTGTATAGTAATTTTCTTAGTAAAGAATTATTCTTTATAATTTTTTTTTTTACTTAAGTTTAAGTGATCAGTTATCTGAAATATTTTGACTGCAGCTCGTATGTCTGATATATCATTATATCTGAAAACAAGCCTCTTCTGGCTCATAGGAGAACTTTCACGTGATTGACCAATTAATTTCAATTGAATTTATACAGTTTAAAGTACTTTTTAAGATTTTGATAATTTACATGATAAAAAATAAAAAATTTTATTTCTAGCTCTGAATTAACTCTAAAATTCACTGTGCAAAAGAATTTCAAAAGAATCTGAAATCTAGAGGTGCTTTATTTAAGAAGCAAATATGCCTATTACTGGACTATATATAATTATTATATACTAGTAAAACTCAATTAACTGGAAAAGGGTGACTGAATATGTTCTTGTTAAAGGTTGAGCTAACAATACTTTGTCTAATTATATACAAGAAAATGATATAATTTGTTTAAATTATTATAATGAAATTGTAATAAGAAGCTCGCTTGAATTTCAATAATATGCTTAAAATAATGAATTTCAACATACTCAAATTAGAAACTGTGAATTTAATAAGACTGAAAGTACTAATGTCATCTTATTCTTTTTTAAAGTAATAGAATTATTAACAAACATTTTATATGCTCAAGAGAATAAAGAAAAACAGTCAACTTTGTATTTTTTTGATGAATTTTAAAGAATTATGAAAGCAAAGGATATAAGGTTAAAAAAATTTTTTGATGAATTATATTTCTCATTTAACCCATCTTCTAAAAATAAAGATTCACAGGCTCAAGTAAAAAGCAATTATTATTTGTATGTTATTTTCTTTATAGAATCTGAAATAAGTTTGTCAATGATGCAAAGAGGGATTTAACCATGTATTTAGATTCTACAAATGCTTCTAACATTTCTATAAATACCCTTTCTGATTTAGATGTAACTATATTATCACATATGGTCTTCTAGTATAAGACAACTATATCCAAAGAATATGCTACATCAATCAATTCTATACTTGTCAAATATGTAGAGAATATAATGATATTAAATATAGATGATTATTACAGTATTTATACAAAACGGATGCCAAATATAACTATTACATTAACTGCTATACATCTAGTAACAATCTTAATAAATTCAATTATGACGTAGCTTGCAATTCTGAAAACAAATATCCATAATCCTGTATTGGTTGATGCTAAATTGATTAAGACTAATATTGAAAATAGGTTTATAAAGCTTTATGGCTTTTTGCATAACCAACATTGAGAATTTCATATGGTTGATAATGATACAAGACTGAAAGAGTTAACTGTATATAGTTATGATATTAGATTGAAGAAGAAACAAAATACTCGTTTAATGAAAAATGTCATTCTTATAGATTTACAGGAGAATAACCTTCATTCTTTGGATGTATATATCAAAACTATTAATACCATTGTGAATGTCTCATTTATGCAGCAATATATTCAGTAAGAACATATCATCCCTATTGTTGCTAATTGGCCTAGACAAATTTACTTTAGAACAGCTATTTTATACTACTTATGTTATCATGATTCATCAAATATTACTAATAACATTTTGTCTTTTTTTCCTATTATAGGTCTTCTGCATATTTTATTGAACAGCTGAAAATTAATTTTCCTTCAATACTAGCTTTTTTTTTTTTTAGCTATATATATATATATCTTTAGAGAAAATAAATCTTTCACACAAAAGCCCAAGCCATGACAGATCAATTTTCTTTAGAGGTATCTCGCAGTGCTTGGCAGAAAATTTCTATTGTTGTTTAAACAAATTTTAAACTTTTATTTAAGGATGTTGTATTAGATATTTATGCTGTATTTTTTCGCTTAGGTGACTTTAATGCTTATTTAAAAGTTTGCTTTTGTGTCTAGACAATATTCTTTAAATTTTATTACAGAAACTATACTAAGGCCTATTGATGTTTCTTTCTGATATTTTTTACTAGAAATTAAACAATCATCTGATACTAGAAGCAATTAAAGCTGAATTTCTAAAGTTTTCAGATTTAACTGTAGAAATCTTTTACAGCTTTTACATAGAAGTACATAAAAATATACAGAAGCATAACAAATTATCAAATATGAATTTATGTAATGATATTGATGAGCATATTTGATCTTTATTAGAATCTTTGAAAAGTTTAGATAAAAAACGAAAATAGGATATAGAACTGGAGGATAATATTTTTGATGATGATGATGATGGTATAAGTAAACTGGTAAACTATGTAACATTTGCATTGGGAGAAGCATTACAAAAATTTCAACAGCAATAAAAAATTATATATATATATATTTTTTTAAATATTATATAAAATCAATAAATAAACTAATTTATTTAATTTTTAAAGACTAAAGTTTAATATACATATAAATGCTAATAGTTAAATAAATAAATAAAATAATTTATTTTAATAAAGTCACGTGATATATATAAATATTTACAATATTAATTACAAAATTTGTGTAATATTATCAGCCAATCATATGAAAATCCTCCTATAACTTCCTGGCTACTATTCTTTATAATTAGTTTGAAGCGAAGCAGAAGACTATATATGTTTATGAACCTTAATAACATATAAGATCACGTGACGAAGTCTGTTTGTCTGCATTCGTCACGTTAATTGATTTGTGTTTACATAGATAATAAAAAAATGATAAATAAAAGATATACTCATCTGCATGTATTACAGTATTACATTTTTAATGCAGTAATGCTAAATGCGAAAAAAAAATAGAAAGAATTAGAGAATTAGAAATATTAGTTAGATTTCATAGATTTTATAGAAATAAAATAATATATGTATTTTAGAACGTTAAATATAATAATAATGATTTTTGTATCAAAAATATTTTCTGTTTCATTTTTTTTATTGTTAGATCTATTATTAACATTATATTCTGTTTCCTAATGTCATAGAAACCAATTGTTTCTCTTTATCTAATCTTTCTTTTAATTTTTTGCAGTTTTTAATACACTGAAGTCTATTGAAGTTGAACGGTTTGAATAAAAGATCTTCAAGGGCACGTATTCAAGACACTGCCACAAAAGAAAGACCTGCATTGAACTCTTTATCACCTAGGTCTATTATAATCCTTCGTAATGTGAGACCCTAACTTTTATGTACCGGGATTGCCCACGCAAAACGTATTAGAATTTGCAAGCGCGAACAAAGAATCCCAGATTTACTATTCCAGGTATGTCTAATTGGTGTAATTGGTACAACTTTTGGGATTTTGATGGATCCCAGATTATGATATTTAGCATTAATAATAGAAATCAATTAATTAATTTTTTAATTATTGTTAATAAATAATTATCACATAATATTAATACCAATACATATTATTTTATATCTTTTTATTAATGATTTTTAATTTGTAATTTTATAAAAATAATTA